GGGTAGGTTCGAACTTCCCCGGGTCACTGGCTAAAGTGACCCTGCTCAGTTCGGTCTCGAAGGGGGGAGAGATGTGACGAACTGGGTCTGTTCTTGCTGGGGTGTGTGAATGCTGACAGGGGAGTGTGACTAGGATAGTCTGCATTGGTGGGTGGGAGTCTGCCCGAAGGCGAATACCTGAGCGTGTAACATGAGAACCCAGGAAGGGGTTGGAGGCCAGGTGACACCTTGGCCCGGGAAACTGAACAAAGGCGGTGGGAGGGGTCGCTGAAGGCAGAGTCTTGGAAGCTGGGTGGTGAGATGGTGGGGAGGCAGAGATTGCTCTGACCTCCCAAGGGGAGCTGGGATGCCCTGGGACCCCCAGATGGACCTAACTGTGGGGGGCCCTGTTGTCTGTGCCTGCAAGACCTGTCTTGGACTGTATTCCTGCCATCCAAATAAACCTTCTGCTTTACTGGCTGGCTGAGAGTCATGGTGAATCGCAGGAAGCCGGGGGTGCAGGGCCCTGAGTCCCCTAATACTCCGTGACAATGTCCCAGGGAGCCTCAGCCCGGCTGACTGCCCTGGGCGCGGAGCTACCTCGCCGTCCCTCGCGCCCGCCTCTGGCTGCCCTGCCCGGGGTGCGCCCGCATGACACGGAGCCGTACCCGAGCCAGCTTTGCTGCAGCTCTCGCGGGCGCCCCAGCGGGGAAGCCGTGGCAGCAGGGCCGTGCCCGTCGGGACCTGGGTAATTCCAGGGGCGGCTCTAGCCCACGGGGCTGCAGCGTGACAGTGACGGGCGCTCACGTGGCTCGGTGAAAGCCCGCACGGGGACGTCTGCCCACACGGCACGGGCACCTCTGGCTGCAGCAAACATCCCGGGGCAGTGCCCTGGGGGCTTCCACCAACCGGCTGCTCTGAGCCCCAGCCAGGGGCAACGCCTGGGGGCGGGGGGACAGGGGGACACTGCCTTAAGACTCGGCCCGTCTGTTTATCACTCAGGGTGCGAATATTCTAATTTGTATCCTACCTATCGTGTGTGCTAAGCTCAGTCTGCGGTTTTGTTTCATTTGCTTAGTGACCTGCTTTGTTCTGTCTGCTCCCCCCTGAACCACTTAAAATCTGCTCTCGTCGTTAATACATTTGTTTTGTTCCTGATTAAACCCAGTCGATGTAATTTCTAACCGGGGGGGGCGGGGGGAGCAAGAAATCAGGCTCATCTCGCGTCACATTGAGGAGGAGGACGGAGTTTTACGAGCTCGTGTAACCCACCCATGCTGCCTGGGTGTGGGGTTCTGTCCAGGGCCGGCTCTACTGTTTTTGCCGCCCCAAGCAGCGCGCCGAATTGCCGCCGTGGACGGCGGGGGCAGTCCGGGTGCCGTTAGAGCGGCACGTGCCTTTCCGCGGCGGCGGCAATTCGGCGGCAGCTTCTGTCGAGGCGTCTGACAGGGATTTTCCGGGATTCCAGGCATCTTTAGACCCCTGAGAATCTCACCTGAGGCATAAGTAAAGAGTTAGAGAGGAAGATTCTGCGTCTTACTCGCTCTTCAGAGCACAGGAAGGTGATTTTCTGTGACTGCTTCTTGGCAGCGTTCCCAGTATTTCCTGTTCTGTGCTGTGGTTTGACTAGAGTTTTAGCTTAGAGCTTTTGAATTTAGTCTTGCAAGATAAAGAGTAACAGTTGTTATTATTTAAAGTGATACGCGTGTTTAAGGGGCTTTGTTGAAGGTTGAAGTTATAACGAATGATACCGCAGTAGCATCAGGCCTGAAAACCCACGCTAGTGTGGCGGGGGAGTTGATAAATCTATGTATTAATTGCCGCCAAGAGGCCGCAGTAACTCAGAACTTGTACAGTTCGAGCTACCTTATTTCAGTCCCCGCAACTCTCCCAGGCTGCACCTCTGATCTGTCTGCCTCAGTTTCCCCCAGCTGTTTGGCAGGTCCCGACAGGGGAAAAGAGGCCTCTCAATCAGCTACGAGCCACCGAGGGAAGAGAGGGGAACGCGCCCCCCCACCTCTATCGTCTACTTGGGACTTTTTGAACTAAGTGTAAAAACCAGTTTGCGGTGTTGTTTCCTGTGGTTTCTGTGAAGGGAGCCTTCAGTTTCAGAGTAAAGACCAGCAGAGGGTTCAGTTATCTAGTTTATCATATAGGCTAGTGAATAGTGAAGTTCTAGAATTGAAGTGAGTTCTATGTTACGTGTTAAGGTGAGTGGAGCAAGAGCACAAGTAGAGTTACCCGCAGTCTGGCTTTAGAAAACTTTGCCAGAAAAGACATTCAGGAACATGGAGAAGGTTTAGAACAGCTGAGGAATAGCGAGATGATCTCTGAGCATTGTAACCCGTGGGGTTTTTGTGAGCGAGGTGTTTGACGTAGAAACAGAGCAGAAAAAAATGGCTAAACTGGTAAAGGAAATCGCTCTTGAATGTCTGCTCATGGCTTGTAGTTCGCTGGGAAAGGAATTGAATAAAAAATTCGAGTTACTCAGAAAAGCCCAGCAAACTTTGGATGGGGGAGGAAAGTTATTCAGCATTTAACAAATCGGCTACATGTAGTTCAGAGGAGCGGTCAATACTTTTCCAAAAGAAGCAGGAGTTAGAGAAAACATTAGAACGGCCTAGATACCAGGTACAGGAAGCAGGAGAAGAAGCACGTTGTTGGCAGGAGCGAGCGGCTGCCAGATTAAAATCGCTGGGCGGCTATAAATCAGACCGAGGTCAGCTGTTGGAAGCAATAGCAGAAGTGTTAGAGGAAGTCAAAGAATCAGTTGGTTCCCATCCCTATTGGCATGGTGGAACCGACGGAGATAGAGAACCCCGCAGGGCCAATCACTAGAAGGAGGCGAGCGAGTTAGTTCAGGCTGATACGGTACCTTTAGGAGCGGAGTCTCAGGAGCTCTGGGAGAGTCAGGAGAGGAAGTTGGCAGTGCGGAAGTGACTAGCAATCTGCAGACAGAAAAAGGAAGTCCCAGGGTGACACCACCGGAGGTAGAGTTGAGTGTCATCATAGAGGAGGCGACTAGTAATGTAGAGGATGAAATGAGCAGAGCAAAGGGGGAGGAGATATCCTCTCCTCTGTTAGCGTCCGCCCCAATAGTGAAGAGGAAGAGAAGTGCCCTGACTGATTGTTCAGGGACTAGAAGATGCGGCGTCAAAAGTGACACCAGAAGCTAGTGCCTGGGATGTAGTAATCTCTAGGTTACAACACAGAGAGAGACAACAACCAAGGGATGCAATTTCTGCTCCTCCACCCAATGTTACATTGGCACCAGATAGATCAGGAGACCCAGCCCCTTTGGGTGGACACTTATTGGCATTTGGGTGATCTTCACCATTGCCTAGGTCCCTAGAATTTTGTGGACTCTCTACACCCCCTTGGGATATGCTGGTCTCACCTGGTGTACCAGTAAAACACCCTACTACACCAGATCGTAACGGACGGAGAGACGTCCTGCGTCAGTGTGGAGATGCCTTGAGTGTAGGACGTAGAGGCTTTATGGAAGGTTACTTTGCTCATCCAGAATTATTTCCAGAGGAAAGTTCTGATCGCTCTGATGAGGAAAATGTGGATTTGGGTAGGAGAAGTCAAAACATAGAAATTATAGATACCAGCTCAGATAAAAGCCCAGATCCCGATCTGGAGAGAAGATCCTCGGATTCTAATTCTGATTGCCCTGTAGCAGTTGTTACAGATCTTAAGACCCTAGCTCTGGTAGCTAAGCAAGTAGGGATGATGGAGGATTCTTCGGTTGCAATGCATGCACAGCGTGTACAAGAAACAGCAAAAGTGTTTGGCTTCCCAAGGGAAGATTGGGTTAAAATCTTACAACTCACAGTGAATCGAGCATTAGGGAGTCCTTTGCCACCTCAGTTTAGGTAGGAGAGAGATTTTTTAAAGACACAGTAGCCCTACTGGAACACAATCAGCATCCGGGGCAAGCTGGAGTGGCCGTCCTGTCTAACCTAAAGCACAGACCTAATGAGTCCCCACATCAATTTCACCTGCGGTTAAGGGCAGCAAGGCCCAGTCACATGAAAGAGGAAACAGATGAGTCACTGTACGTTAGTTTGTTGGTCAATAACTCTCTTCCCCGTTTGCAGGAAATGGTTAACATGCATATAACTGATGGCACTTCTTTGCAGGAGGCATTAGCCTGACCGGCCAAGGCGTATTCTCAGGGAGGCCCTAAAACAGGAGCCTCTGTTGCAATACTTCAGGAACCACAAGCTGATCCCACCCTGAGGATTGAGGGACCCCCAGGGTTAGGCCGAGGTGTTCCTACATTCCCTAGGAACCAGCGTTGGCAAAATGACCCTAACCCACGTAGTAACCCTGGACCCTTGAGTGGGCGTGCCCCTCGACAGGGTTATGCGTTTGGACCCCAGGTAGGGCCCGGGGACCGTGTTCCTTTCTTTTCAGATGCCGCCCAGAGCAATTCACGCCTGCAGAGATCCACGTCCCCACCTCCCACAGAGGTGAGGACTCCATGGTAATGATGCAGCAGACGCTTGAGGCTCAACGACGGGATATCCGGGAACTCCCAGCACGCGTGAATGAGCTGATGATGGAAGGCCGAGCCCAGCACCCTCGAACTGTCCGGTGGCCTCCATTGACCCATTGCCTTCTCTCCGGTGGACAGCCTCTCCTCCTCTAGTTGGCTGCCTCCGAAGAGATAGAAGGAAAACCCGGAGATTATTTGTCTGCATACTCTACAAATTCCTCGGCATGACGCCAACCGGCCCCGAGCGTAATCATAGCCTCTTTAGGCAGGGTTGCAAGCGGGAGTATCTGCAGTGGTGGGGGGGCCGCCCCAGGAATTGTATTATAAATACTGGGGCAGCAATTAGCATTATCCATGTCGAGGATCCTAGAGCCTCTTCTCTGACATCAGGGCGTATGAAAACACTTTCAACTTTTGCAAGCAATCAGGTTGTTACCACACTTCCTATCCCGTTGAAGTACAGATAGGTCACCTTAGAAAGGTTCAGACCTTTGTGTTGATGAAATTAGCAGAGCCAAGGAATTGCCTATTGGGAACGGATTTCCTGTACACACAGGGATGTGTTCTTGGTTTGGTTAACCCAGGGGTCTCAAACTCAATTTGCCTTAGGGCCAGGGCCAGTCCTCAAATCCTCCCAGCGGGCCAGTAACGTCACTGAAGATGGTGTTCACGCCACCTCCCGGCCCGTTTACCACCCTTTTCCCTCGCTCCCTTGGCCTCATGCTGCTCCGGCTGACTCTGCCCAGCGACTAGTGACGCTGCCTCCATGGCTAACTCTGCCCGGCAACTGGTGATGGTATCCCTGTCCCTCTCCCCCAGCCAATGGGAGCTGCAGAGGGGGCGCCTGCAGCAGACAGCCGTCAGCGTGGCTGCGTGGGTCTCTCCTCCGCCAGCAGGGGTAGGGAACCGCTTGCAGGGAGCCAAGCTGCCCAAGGCGAATGCCTAGGGAGAGTCCCAGAGCAGCAGGATGGAGCAATGTTGGGGGGAGGAGCATGTGACTCGCTCCTGCCCGCTCCCCTCCCGGCCCCCCCTTCAGCCGGCAGCCACAAGGGTCGGATGAAAAAACTTTTTGAAAAGTTTCTGCGGGCCGTGGTGGGGAGGTTCTCGGGCCACAGCTGGCCCGCGGGCTGGGACTTTGAGACCCCTGGCTTAACCAATTGTGTCTTACCGTAGAACTGGCAAAGGATGATTCACCAGTAACCATACCTCCAGTGGAGGACTCCGAACCTGAGGGGTGTGATCTGAACAAAATAGTGGCTAGTCTGAGTTACAGGCGTTACTTCGCAAGCATGCGGATGCCTTTGCTAAACACAGACGGGATTGTGGAGGTCTGGCAGTCACTACTGTTGTGGAAGGAGGAGAGGTTTCAGCCCAACGACAGTGTAAAAGTGATTTTGGTACATGGTCAGATTCTGTTATGAATGTTGCTGCAATTCAAAATGGAGGTTAGAAATTCAAGATGGCGCCTATGATAGGCAGGGTTTGAACTCCATCTTGGTAACCTTTCTTCACGGCATTTTCCCGCCAAAACTCTGTTTTCCTCCCGGAACCTGAGGGACAGAGAACTGGCTGGACCCGGTTGGGAGCAGGGCCTGTCAGAGTGGGCTGCAGGAATGCGCGCCTCAGCGAGCGTAGAAGGGACGGTCAGCGGCGACGCAGGCGCTGTCCACCATCGAGGCAGCCACGTCCAGGTTCTTCGCACGGCATCGGATCAAAACTTCGGCTACTAACGTCTGTCAAGGACTCTGATACGTACCTGACTCCTGTAATCCACCAAAGGATCCAGTGAAGATGGTGCTCTCAGCCCAGATCTGTGATCTCCTGCTTCGGCAGTAGAGAACCAGATCCTCCGATGTCCCAGAGACCCTGAGACGGACCATCCGTTGCCGCTGTCCTCCATCTGCATCCAGAAGAGAGGCAGTAATTGTTTTTCGGGCATTTATTAGTTTAGCCAAGGGACAGTTTAAGGGCCTGGGCTTTATGCCCCCTTGCTGGAATCTCTTCGTGGGTATTTGTAGTGTTCCCCATAGTGAATCTTCCCCCAGTTGTATCTATCCCTTAATCAATCTTCTTTCTGTTTAAGGTTATAATCTCTCTGTTCTTTATTTCAATGCAACACGGGCGGGAGGCACACAGATTTCTAATTCTCCCAGCTGATCGATGCTGGTAGGAGTTGAACCTGTTGCATATGTCACCTCCTTATTATTCCACACAGAGATTTTGGGGTAACAACAGTATCCTTACCCAGACATAGGAAAGACTGTCAAGTCTTTACTGACACAGGGAGTGCTACATAGATGTACTTCCACTGCCAATTCCCCCATTTGGCCTGCGAAGAAACCAGATGGTTCTTGGCATCTCACAATTGATTACAGGCGCCTGAACCAGGTCACACCCACTTGTGCCCCTACAGTGGCCAAGATGCCAGATCTAATCAAGTGCTTTGATCCAGAGGCTGTGTGATTTACTGTCCTAGACATCAGTAACAGCGTTTGGACATTACCATTGGCCCGCGTTTCACAGGACCGTTTTGCATTTCGTTTCCAGGGGGTCCAATACTCCTGGACACGTTTACCTCAGGGCTGTAAAAATTCTCCAGCTTTGTTCCATGCGCAAACCACGCAGGTACTATTGCAATTTTCTAAACCAACTGTTCTGTTTCAATCCGTAGATGACCCGTGTTTAGCAACACAGACCAAGAAGGAGCCTCTGGAAAGGCTTGACGAGCTCCTGCAGATCCTAAAGGAAGCAGGGCTAACGTGCCATCCGGCCAAGGCCCAGCTAATGGCCAACCTGACAAAGTGGGGTAGAACCCCGGCAGCAGAACGGGGATGCAATCCAAACAGTGCCTTTACCACAGGACCCAACGGCTTTCAGATCCCTTTTGGGACCACAGGGATTTCATTCCCAATTTTGCTTCCATTGCAGGTCCCTTGGAGCAACTGTTAAAGAAGAGTGTCCGATGGAAATGGACTGAACAGCACACGGACGCAGGGTCCCAGCTAAAACAGGCCATTGTCAAGGCTCCGGTGTTGATCACTCCAGATCCTGAGATACCCGATGGTCTGGAGGCAGCGGTGAGTGTTAATGCGTTAGCGGCTGTGGCCTCACAAGAGCGGCATGGGAAAATCACACCTGTGGCCTATGCCGCACGTTTAATGTCACCAACTGAACTGAGTGTGACAATTGTGAAAAGTACCTATTGGCCACCAGGTGGGCTGTACAACACGTTTCTTTTCTAATTGGCCTCAGCCTCGTTACCAGTGTTTGACCCAAACAAGGACGTGTACAGGCAATTGGCTGCTGTCCATTGTACATGTAAGCGGGGGAATGGTCCCGCTATTGTGGGGAACTTTCCTGGCTTCTGCACGACCCCGGTGAAGTGGGCTAGCGAAAGGATCCGAGTCCTCGCTCCCACTTCCTTAACCCAAAGCCCTCCCTGCCCTTAAGGGCTCCCCTTCCACTCTCCTGTCTGGCAGAGTCCTCGTAACCCCAACGCGGCTGGGCCCAGGATTCCTGGGGGGCTCGATCCCCAACCCTGCTGTGGTCACCTAGGACAGGGGCTAGGGTGTCCCCACTCCGGGGTACTCTCTCTGCACTGGTGCTTTCCTGACCCACTGATCATTTCATACAATTTAAAGCAAATACAATTTATTTAATCAGCAATTAATTAAAAAAAGAATAAGGGAAAATGGGAAAGGTTGAAGGAAAACACGTCACCCTGCTCTGTGGCCGGGAACATCACAACCAGTGTCTCTGGAACGTCCGGGCAGGTCACAGGCTGTTCCTTGTCGGTCCCCGGCTCCTTCTCAGGCCCCGGCCGTGCTGCAGAGACGCTGCGGGTCGGACACTTGCTCTGGTGGTGGCCACACACCTCCAGGCTTTGGGTGGTGGGACCCTTCTTCCCAGCGTCGCCCCCGTTGGGTTAAGATCCCCCTCCCAGTCTGGCTGGGCTGGGGGTGTCTTTCTGCACTGGGCCCTTTGTCCAGGGTCCCCCTTGGCTGGCCCCAGTTGCTCACCACACCCGGCTCCAGCCCCAGCTCCACTGTTCTGGCTCCAGCTCCACCCTGCCCCAGCGCGGCTGCTGCTGCTTGGCCTCCAGGCCCCTGGGCGGCTTTTCTGCCCCCCTGGCCGGCCCGGCTCTGCTCCCCAGCTCCGCCTGGGCCCCGGCTCTCCCCTTAGCTTGCCCCCACTCGGTCTGACCCAGGCAATGCCAGCTCACAGGGACCGGGACCCCCTCCCCCCGCCTCCTGACTCCCTCATTAGCCTGCCCGCCCTGTCAATCAGACTGACCTGGAGCATTGGCCTCTCCCCATGGTCCTGGGGACTGTCAGTCTCAGGGCCCGATTTCCCACCGACCCTCCCCCTTCCTTTTGGCACTGGGAGCTAGCAACCAAAACACCCCACTGAGTTTTAATAAGGGGACAACAGTTACATATAGGTCCCCTTGGAGACGACATCTATAGGGAACGCATTAACGCCCCTCCCTTGGGGGTCTGGCACACTCCAGCTCAGACCTGGAAAGTACCGCAGGTGGCCCCTTGCTCTGAAAAGGGGCCTCCGTCTATCTGTAGCGTAATGCGTTTGAGACCCACGCTGGTCTGTGTGGACCGCAGGGAAAGAAATGCCTGGTGAGGCTGGCCAAGTGGAAGACTCTGATGGAGAGGGCAACCTAGGCTGGAAATAGCCACTTTTGCAGGTTACCAACCAAAAGAGATACAAATATGGTCCCTTGAAGTGTCCTGTCACAGAGCCAAATTTTTGTTTTACTCCAAAGCAACCCACTTCGACAGGCAATCAAGCTATTCCCCCTATTCCCAGTTTTGAAAACCTCACCATTATCCAGTCCAACCCAGCCTATCAGACTTTATCCAAAGTACACCCAGCTTTCTTGTCCACATTCCCCCACTAGGGTTACAGTTAAAGTCATTATTGGCTCGTAAGAAGAACCGCCTCATACAAATTACTAACTATATGGACAAAGCCAAACACGCTCTTACCCAGTTAATGAATGAGGGTCATGAGCCTACAAAGACTCCTGGGAAAACATTTGGGTTAAAAGGAGGGGTTATTATCCAAGGACCGAAGAAGTGAGGTTTTTACTCACGAAAGCTTATGCCCAAATAAATCTGTTAGTCTTTAAGGTGCCACCAGACTCTTTGTTGTTTTTGTAGATACAGACTAACACGGCTACCCCCTGATACTATCCAAGGACTTGCAACTGGGATTAATTTCCTTGTTTTAGGATGCCTGCAGCATAGAAGATCAGGGTTGGAAGGGACCTCAGGAGGTATCTAGTCCAACCCACTCTTCAAAGCAGGACCAATCCCCAGACAGATTTTTGCCCCAGATCCCTAAATGGCTCCCTTAAGGATTGAACTCACAACCCTACGTTTAGCAGGCCAATGTGCAAACCACTGAACTATCTAACGAGCCCAAGCAGAGACCTACATGGGCACCAAATGTTAAGGATAATGAATATGTATATGTGGCGCCCACTCCAGAAATGTACCAGGGTCCAGAAAACCATCTTTATAATCACCTTCCTCCACCCCGACCGAGGGAAAATGGCGTTAAAACTGTCCCCACAGATACTTAACCACCTGCATCCGTACCTATGTGATGGGGTTCTTTGTTGCAAACCACCCCGTCAAAGGGGGGCATGTAGCCTATAGGATTAACCTGCTTGCTTGCCTAGATCTATCTTTTCTTATCGTTTAAGTATTTGGTTTATTGTAACAGGTTTATAGATTTATATTAAAGTGAGTTCGGCTGTAATGCAAGGGACCTACAGGCCAGACCCTGTACGTTGAGCTCAGGCCTTTCCCCCAGATAGATAGATAACGGTAGAACAGCATAGGGGGTTTCCAAGTCTGTACCCTCAGACTTAACAGGTGCACCACCAGGAAAGAACCGAAATAACTGGGAGAACATGTGTGTGTGTATGATCAAATGTCATGAATATGTATGTACATGTCATCAATACGCAGAAACAGACCAGCCTGTGGAGTACGTGACCCTCACATTTTTGTGGGTGAGAAAGGAAGGTTGGGCCTAGAAGGAGGGTCCAGGCACCTGCCCATACAAAGGGCCTGGTTAGGAAGCGTTTGCTTGTTCCCAGGGGACTGGGCTAAGCTTGGTTTCCCTAAGCCTTTGTGGATTAGGTTTTCATTTTGAGTTTAAGTTAGTTAAGTAAACTCGAAGTTTTCTCTGATTGCTCTTAGCTCCAGCTTCTTCTAAGCTCTGCCCCTCTCACTCAAGACTTGAGGAACCTGAACCGCTGAGCTGAGGCTGGTCCTGTGTCTCTCCCCACCAGGTTATCAGGGGAGGGGGTGAGTATGTGAACCAAAGCTATGTAGCCTATAACCCCATCGGGATCTTTTGACTAGCAGCTATACAATTGTAACTGTGCAACGCTGATTATTTTACCATTGAATTACCATTTAGATACTTCATTTCTCTTAATAAAAAGTCTTTAAGGATCTATCGGTCTCAGTGGGAGCCTCCTGTCATCCCCCCGAGGGCCCTTTGTAAATGATGTGGAGCCTGATTTGGGACAAGAACCTTATTATCTTCTAATCAAACAGACGGGCCAGCCTAAAACCCACTATCCAAATTCATATTATTAACCTCCTAAATCAGGCAACGCCTGGCACCACGACAG